ATCGTTTAATATGATCATGTTGGGCGGTGGGCCAGTGGTGTTGGAGCTGATAACTTGTTAACCTGAGAGACCTAATATCCTAGACTGGGAGGAAGAATTAGGAGTCCAGAGAAAGGAATATGAAATATATATGGTGTCTTAGTTGTTGTCTTACAAAATGTGTATATATTATGACGCGCATTAGTGGCTGAGGTGATTTTGAATTTGAGAGGCGCGTAGGATAAGGGGATCAAGTAAGTAAAGTAGGATATTGGGAAGCGAGAACGCTAAGTAAGATGATAATATTGAATGAGAAATAGGATTGAGACTGACTCTCATGATATAGTGCTGTGATGCAACTTGGCCGAATCTCATTAAGACCAGCTGTGGCTAACAAAAAGGCTCCCACCTTAGTTAGGTAATTCTAACCCATTGTAAAAGTTATAAATCCATCCTTAGATTGGTCCTGTATGTTCAGAAAAGTCTGAATGTCAAGATTAATTGATCCCGGAACATTTGGACCTCTAGCTATGAACAATCTGATATGACAACCAATGGGGAGGCATACTCTGCTCAATATACGCAATCGACTACACACCTACTATTTTGTACCAATCATTGCGGTGCATCATCTGAACGCTATACGTCACGCTGAAAAAGAAAGCCTCAAACTTCCCAGCCACAGCAAGGAACACCTTGAAAATATCTGCAGGAAGGCTGACAACTGTAAAAAATGGCTAAGATCTTTAAACAAATTTCTCACATAGACAAGGTAATTTACTACCCAATTACAGATAGACACTTTTTACTACTAGGACATGTTCTTACTGTCGTTTACAACTGATCTACTCAACCAAATGCGATTTGTACAATGCAAGCGACATTATCGCGCATACAACAGCTATCAGTCGTAGGAACATGATGGGTATAATCACGTAAGGAGGAAAATAACCAAGATTAAAATCGAGTTCAAACTAGGTCCGATAATCAAGAGCACACAAACTTTAGTAGCCCTCTATGATTTTTTAAACCACAATTGGCTAAGTACATAATTAATTTCGATTTTTGTCGTAAACGAGAAGAAATGAGGAAACGTGAACCATCAAGACAAATTACGACATACGTCAAGCAAGGCTTCCAGCAAATACAGCGTGCCAGTTATATTATCATAAGCAATTATTATTGGTGGATGCAGTCAGAATTTGTATCTTATAAAGAATATGCCTCAATTTCATCACTTTAGATACATCTCACGGTTTTCTTTCCCTATGGTAGAAAATATATATATATATATAATTCGCCTCTTTATAATAAATGCCTTAGTACGTAATCTTTTGTTGTTTATGTTAGTTTCTAACTGAACATATATCTGGAATTCTAAAGGCTGGGAACTTCTTCTAATTGATCAATGTAATGATTCTATACAAAAAGAACCGTAAGGAAAGTGCTATATCATTCAGTGTTGACCGGTTAGCTTTGTTCAGGTCTTGCGAAGATTTTTCAAGCACGTCCGCCGAAGATGGCGAACATGGCGCCACTGAAGATTAAGTCGACTGCAAATAAAATTGTAAGATGTTGTTATCAAATATATGTAACACAATTGCTTTGATGAAGTTGGATAAGTTAGTAAAATGATACAACACAACTCAGTCAGCTGAGCTACTATCTTTGAAGTTCAAAATACACTTGCATAATTACAGCGTGTTATATCAAGAAGTTCTCGACCTTATCTCCAAATCCTTTACAGCACAATCTTCCTTCAAAAATAAAAAATTGAAACTTGTAAAAGACACCGAACATTGATTTGTAAAGGTAGGGAGAAAAAGGTAAGGATCATGTTGTTACCTTCGAATATCCAAGTGTTTATTAATCATAAATATTGCACTAGATTGCATTTCTATGTATTTTTTTGTCGTCTGTCCCATTGTCCCATTGTTTCATTTTTGTATCTTCAGCACGCCAACATCATTAGTTCTTATGTTAAATTCGACCTATAAACTAACTTATACTGTATATTTAGCAATTTTATTTGTACTCCAACAATTCCACCCACTATATCCATTCATAATGACATGCACGCAGCCCCGGCACCTAAAAATAAGGATGAGCCAGAATTTGAAGTTTGGAGAGGAAATCAGCGTCGAATGGAACTGACCACGGAAAACACGGAATATATTGCGATGAACTAGTAGCACAATACCTAAAAGCAAACCAGGTGGTATTTCGGCAGCATGCTGTACTGAATTTAACTTTGCAGCAGGTACTCAATGGCTAGTTATATTGAGAAAGAAGATAACAGAAATCAACATACGGATTCAAGAACGTTAAGTGGTCAGTAAATCTCAAGATTTATATGCTACTATGAGCTGTCCAAGCTGTATTTGATACACACGTACGGAAGTTGGATTGTACAGCATACCTGTAAATAAAAGAGGAACGCGTATTAATGAGACATTTTACGGCACTACTCAAAAAATGGTCCCGCATAATTCGATTCGCTGTTCGAATTCACATACCATAGAAAGTATTGATGATAAAGCTCCGCATCTATGAAGTCTAAATAATAAATCTCAATTCAACATTCATTACATCATTTTTAAAACTTAATTTGATAATTGAACGCACTTGTAATGCGTTCTTCTATAAATCTCTTCATTTCCTCTGATATTTTCTCAGTCTCACTTATTATTGGTTTGATTGTGTCGCCTTGATATGGTATGTTTGTGATATCTTTATTCGATGATACTACTGGGGATACCCTTGAAGCTTTGTCAGTATATTTACTTGCAGTATGCGAGTCGTCGAGTGTTACGATTTCCTCTTTGATATCACGCAGGGTTTGCTTGATTTGGTCGCACAATCCATGCTTTTTATATAGATACTCGTTCAAGTTGTTTGTAACATGTCTTCCGATCTGTTCAGCTGCTTCCAACAACGCCTCGTTGAATTGCTCAGCGAGAGGAGATGAGTCAGAAGCAAGCATAGTGTGATCCTCATTGTAGGGTTCCCATCTTTTATTTCGATTAGTATCGCGTCTTCGATCTTGTCTCTTCTTATTTTGCGACGCGTTAAAACTTCCTCGCGTGTCTACTTCGTTCGAATGGAACGATATATGTTTCAAAATATCCCCACCTATAAATTCGGCGCCTCTGAATTCATTAGAATGGTTGCCAGCCTTTCCTGGAAAATGTGTTAATTTTTTATCATGACCGTCCATTTTCAAAAAAGATAAAATCACGACTGATGACGTCATGACAGTATGTCTATAAAGGATATAGAAATATCATTTTTTGAAAGAATAACATCGGTCGCTTAACTCAGTTGGTTAGAGTGTGGAGCTAATATGCGGAATATCGCGGATACTCCAAAGCCACAAGTTCGAGCCTTGTAGTGACCATCGTTTTTTTGTCTTTTTTAAAAAAAAGAAAACTCTGGTAAATAATTCATTTTTGTAAACAAATTTAACAATGTTTCAGAACCCGGATACAAATACTGATCATCCGAGATCATATAGTTGTTAGATGCGAAGATATAAATGAGAACTTTTTGAAACACGGTATCAGTGGAAGCTACGTAAAGAGCTAATACTATACAAAACCATTATCAGGGATAATTATTATTCTATTTCTTTTAAAAAAATCATATGTATATTACATTTTGAGTTATTGCATGGGGAGCATATATCAGAGATTTTATGCACTCCGATTAAAGTGAATGATATTTAGATTTAAAATAAGGTATCTCATATTTATGACAATAGCTTTATTCGACAATAAAAGGATATATGATACTTTACCTCCTATACCTGGTAACTTCCATATCTGCCTCGGCTGCTCATATTGTACCAGAAATTCAAATAATAGATAAGGGGTTCACAATACAATAAGGAGTTGGGACAAAATCCGCCAGAGGTCTCAGATGATCAACATAGATAACATATTTCATATTTCACAACCAACAGTGTGTTACTGTTAATTATTTTTTTGTGTTTGAAGCTTGCTCGATTTATCTGCTGATGCTGATGCTTAATCTTTTTTTTTTCTATAAAAGCTTATTCGAACATTTACCCCACTTCCAAGTATAGCTACGGTGAAGCACATTTATCACCATGATATCTCAAATAATAGGCGCCGAACTTGTGGACACTTCCTTTTTAGTAGGCTTCTTCTTTGGATCACTTGCTATACCAATTTCTTTCGTTACTTATATTACTCTCGCCCGAGGAATGGCAGTTTGGGTAAATTATCGCGCTTCTATTGATTTTTATGATCACAAAGATTGTGTTACTTTCAGAGTACCACTCTGGTCTTACTGGAAAGGATCTAGCAACCCCGATTCTGGAGAAAAAAGAATGAAGGGATGTGAACCCAGAGAGATAACGTTTATCTCCATATCAGATAGGAAACTATGTAGGAAACTATGTGTTGGTACGTATGCTTTTGGTGTGGCTGGAGCATTAGCCTTCGCAAGTATAAATACTATAGGATATGCTGGATGCGCTTGGGCTTATGCGTTTAATTATAGAAGAGAGTTTGAAGGTGGTAGGGTCTTAGTATCTTCGTAAAATAGGGGATGAGATAAGTTTCTTACCTCATTGAGAGTTTTTAGGTTATTCCAATACATACATGATGGACAAACTAAAGCATTGCCATTTGTGATGTTTATCCAATTCATTTAATTTACTACAAAAGTCCAAGCACAAGTCTAAATGATGACGTCAGCAGATGAGTTGGTTTCACCAGAAGAAATTGTTTTACTTGATTTGATCTATTTATTCATTGCAATGGAGCTTGGGCTTTTATAGCAAAAAAATAATAATTGGTGCTGTCATCATCTGTATTACTTACTTTGCGACGTAGACACAAGTGAAACACCCACAATGAATTATAAAGTCAGAATGGTTTCTTAATAGTACAATGTTTATATCATAATACGTTTATACCTGTTTACCATATTCTTCATGCTGCTTACTTTATTTAGATGATAGTGTTACTAAGTTGGCATAGATTATAAGAAAAATCTACGAGAACCGACAAACAAGGTATTATATGAATAAAACATCAATGAGCATCAGATATTAACAATGAAAAAAAATACAAATGATAGAATTTCAAAAAGAAATGTCGATGGGGCGAATCGAACGCCCAACCTTACGAATGCGATTGCTTCAGTCGTACGCTCTCGCCAATTGAGCTACATCGACTTGTGATTATTATAAATTAAAATGAGTTGTGTATCGCTTATGAGTAACTCCTAAAATGATCAAAAAAAGGCTGCCACGTGTTGGGTCCTCGACCTTCGCACTTAGCAAAGGCTCCCCACAAGGGTCCCCAATAAGCGGACCATTGTATTTGATATATAATACCGCGTTACTGAAAGCCAGCCGAGAGGTTATCAAAGTGGGTTATGCAGACGATGTACTATGGATGGCAGCAGCTAGTACACCGAAGGAAGCTAGATCCTTATTGGAAAGCCAATTACACGAAGCCGACGATTGGTCAATCACACACGGGACACCCCTAGATATTGCTAAGACACAATACGTGCTATTCACGAAACACCCTCTGAAGATAGACACCAGTCCACTTCATTGGGGAGAGAGGGAAATTGCACCAACTCGAGCCATGAAGTATCTTGGATTGATGTTGGACAGCAGGCTATCATATAAGCAGCAGACAGCTTTAATGACAAAGAGGGGTTATGGCGCCGGGGCAGCCATCGGCAGACTTGCAAACACACGAGGGGGCATGCCTACTAGGCAGTTCCTAATGTTATACAAAACTCATGTTTGTGCTGCAACTGATTACGGGGGCCACGTTTGGATTAATCCTTACAAACACGGCCGAGCTATCCGCACGCTAGAACTGCTACAGAACAGAATGCTCAGAAAGGCTCTAGGCGCT